AAGTAGGCCTACAGGACTCACGAATGGGGGAGATTATAGATTTTTTAAAAAGACACACTTGGGGATAGGGGGAGGCTGAACGCAACACCAGAGGACAAAAAAACTGAAACTGGAAGCAAATATTATGTTTAATGTTTAGAATTTTGATTACTACTACAGCTCTCTGCTAAGTAAAGTGTGCGTTGGTGCAGGCCTTGTGTGAAAACGGTCGAAGTGTTCGCGTTTCATTGGATTGGTGACAGTAAATTAGATCTCTATATTTTAGCTTTCTGTACAAGATTCGCAGATTGTCAGTATCATCTCCCACTCCCTCTCCTCCCCCCCTCTCTCTCCCCCCCCCCTCTCTCTCTCTCTCTCTCTCTCTCTCTCTCTCTCTCTCTCTCTCTCTCTCTCTCTCTCTCTCTCTCTCTCTCTCTGTCTGTTTCTCTTTCTCTCTCTCTCTCTCTCTCTCTCTCTGTGTTTATGTATTTTTGTGTATGATTGTAAGTGTGGTGTGTGTAAAGATAGTATTAGTGGGTGGTTGATGGGTGCTCTGGTGTGGTCTGCTCCTTCTCTCCTATTTAAAAAATCTTTTTTCTTTCTTGTTTTTGTGTTTGTTACTCTCTTGTAACACTAACACCTCTAATCTTCGGCACTTATATGAACTTATTGTGTTGCAAGTGCTAACTCTTACGAAAACAAAATGTAGCTTTAGGTATGAACAGGGCGCTTTGGCGGCAAGAGTAAATGAATGCGTGGTACCGAAGCTCGATCTACTTTCGCTTTCGTTACCACCCAGAAATTTGCAGGTAGCAGTCTGATTAATGCAACATTTGTAACATACAGGTTGTGCATACAAACGCTGTGTCACCATGAAAATAAATCATTGTCCTTTGTTTTCACTTGCGGAAAAGAAAGAAAGCTATACAGGCGTCTTGTAGGGCTGGACATCGTGACCGGTCAGTGAGCTTGTACTTTCGCATCACATTGTGAGTACCAGTGATTGTTGGGGTCACCAAAGTTCATTCAAAGTGTGCGCTGTGCGAAGTATAGGGCTCCGGAATGGGGGGATTATCGATTTTTTAAAAAGGTACAGTCGGGGGGAGGGGTGGGGTTGAAGGGAACACCGGATGACAAAAACTGAACTTGGAATGGAAGCAAATTTTAGTATTTAGAATTTTGATTATTACTAGAGCTTCCTGCTACGAAAAAGCATGCATTGGTGCAAGCCCTGTACGGAATTGGGATCTGTCATGGCTCAAACCTAGTAAGCCGTGATAGTACGTTTGACTCTCTCTCTCTCTGTCTCTCTCTCTGTCTCTCTGTCTCTGTCTCTCTGTCTCTCTGTCTCTCTGTCTCTCTCTCTCACTCTCTCTCTCTCTCTCTCTCTCTCTCTCTCTCTCTCTCTCTCTCTCTCTCTCTCTCTCTGTCTCTCTCCCAGATTCATAGGTGTTCAGTATCACTGCATTTTGCTCTCCCTTAGGAAAGATGACAGGGGGTAGATTGGGATCATTTGTGGGATTACATTCCGCCCACTCACAACCCCAAAAAGCGGAGTGAAAAAGAAAAAAGGTCAAGGTCTTGAAGGGAGCGAAGCAGTTACCGTGCACCTAGCTCAAGCGCCCCCCCCACGAAACAAAATACCCGGTTACCGTGTTCGTAGATAATGAGAGGCGCCCGGTTGCCAGTTACCGTGTACGTAGATATTGAGGCTACGCGCCCGGTTACCGTGTACATGTGTATGTGACATTGAGACTACACGCCGGTTGCCGATTACCGTGTTCGTAGATATTGAGGCTACGTGCATGGTTACCGTGTATGCAACATTGAGACTACACGGTGAAAAATGAAAAATTAATGTCAATGTCATGAAGGGAGCAAAGCAGTTACCGGGCACCTAGCTCACCCCCTTTCCCCTAAATACCCGGTTACCATGTTCTTAGATAATGAGAGGCGCCCGGTTGCCGGTTACCGTATACGTAGATATTGAGGCTACTCGCCCGGTTACCGTGTATGTGACATTGAGACTTCACGCCCGGTTGCCGGTTACCGTGTACGTAGACCCTGAGGCTACGTTCCCGGTTACCGTGTACGTAGACACTCCGTTAAAAAAATAGGCCTACTGAATTGTAAATATAAATTTTTAGTGTGCAGTACCTAAAGTATTTGTATTTGAGACGAAACCAGGAGCCTTAATGACAGTGCATGTATTTTAAACCTCCTGTTTTCTAATGTTAATAGGGCCTAAGATAAGTACGGCTAGACTGGCAGTCTAGCCGTACTTAAGTACGAGTAGACAGCCAGGCTAGCCGTACTTAAGGACGGCTAGACTGTAAGGCTAGCCGTACTTAATATTGATGGCTGAATTGTAAATGAAATTTTTAGTTTGCAATGCCTAAAGTATTTATATTTCAGACAAAACCAAAAGGTGCCTTACTGACTTGCATGTATTTGAACCTGAATAATTACTAGATCTAGATCTAATGAGACCTGTGTACTTAACAGGCTTGAGTCGATAGGGCCAAACTTAGATCTAAGTACGGTTAGACTGGCAGTCTAGCACGGCTAGTCACTTCGGCCTGGAAACATGTATATTTTCGCTCTATGAATACCGTGGGAGTGTGTTAATCGATGATGAAAATAACGCTGTATCTTTTATAGCTTTCTATTTATAAAGTGTTACGAACACATGAGAATAACCCCCTCTCTTAAGCTGATTATAAGACATTACGAGTAGTTACGCCCATTCAAATGACCTTTTTAGAAGCTCATATTGTTAGGAATTATCTGGAGTTCGAAAGGGGATTAAAATTATATAGTATAGGTCAATATCTGAATGTTTTGCGCTCAAATTGTTCTTTTTACCTGCACTATGGCATGGTTTTCAAAATTATCAAACAAGCTTTTTTTATCAGGTCGTATCATTTCATACAAAATCAAGCTCATTTGAAAGATTTTGTATAGAAAAATGGATATCTTGTTTCCTGACTATCCTTTCGAGCTCCTCATGTCTAAGTGGGTCAATTTGTTTTATAATTTCATTGGATGAACATCTAAAGCTACCAACTTGGCGTGTTTTGAATGAGACGTATGCCTCTGTTACGAACCAACGCAGGCGGTTCTAGAAGAAGGCCACAAAGCTCACAAACTCAAATTGACTGACGCACACACACTTGACCTGCGTGAATGGAGATCCGAAGCGGGACCCGAATTGAACATGAGATGATGCTCGGCGCACGTGCGCTGAGCCAGGGGCCAGACTGATGCCGGACCAGAACGCAGGCGAGGTGTCGAAATAGGCTTATCGGGCGACATAAACCCAGCTCCCGCAGGACGAGGGTTAATATGCTTAACGTGATCATAATGAGTTTTAAAAAAGAACACTCAGAACATGTATGTCTGCCAAGCACACTACTTTAAAAGTAAAGTTTAATTTTACAGTAACTGAATAAACCAAGGAGTGTAACTCATCACTATACACCTTGATATCATTGGTCCAGTGTCTATTCATTAAATGAAATAAAAACAACCCGAGTGACTTTCCCCTCCGTCTTCGCCCCAACCTCCTTACTGTGCTGCAACAGACAGACACGTGGCACACTGACATAACATCAAAGTGACAGGAGGGGAGGAGAGGTACTGAGGAAGGGGAGATTAAGAAACCTGCTAAACAGTACTGCCATGAAAGCGCCTCTTTCATTTGGAGGAGACAGAGACACTGTTGGAACACTGCTCTCGCTCGAGCACTGGCGGTATGGTACTACTCGAGTGGAAGTGTACTGAGCAGCATCTGTAGTGCTCTGAAAACGGCTGGAGCAGGGTACTGCTCACTAGTAATGAAGAGTGCTCTCGACACAGTACTATATATATATTTCAGTGCAATCTGGATGTATTCTAGTCAGGCGTTTTGACTCATATTTTACACAGAAATTGTTTTAGGTACTTTATGATAAATTAGATCCATAAATTGTTCTGAAAGTTGAAGAAGTAGATCTATAGTATTCCCTTTGTTTTGTTATTAGTTATGACGAAGGTGAATGGTTGGGCCATGATATATCCTTCCCAAGCACACAAAGTTTGAGTAGTAAATCCAAACTGAACTATCAAATGTATGGTGAGTGTGATGGACTGACATTTCAAGTGTGAAGGATTAAATGACATCTCTGTCTGCAACCAAAAACAATCAAGGCATCATTTTTTTTAGCCTATCAACAATTTAGTGCTTTTGCAAGCTTCAACTTTAGTAAAGAGTTTAAAAAGTCTGTTGAATATATATCTACTGAACTTTTTTTTTTCTTCAGAAATATATCAATTTGCAATACATTTTTAAAAATGTATATCAACCTTATTCTAAGTTTTGGCCGACAGTCAGAGAATCTCATTAGTTCCAGGATATCTAGAACATTTGAAAGGAGATTTTAAAAGCTCTAATTATGCTAGGATAGAATTTGGGCACTCCATATAAAAACCATCATCTTGACACTTTGTTTATTTGCCTTTTGATAATCTTGCAAAAAAATGTTCTTGTTTCATTGCTTTCACACTAGTAAAAAATAGGCCTGCCCTGCAAAGTAATTGGACAAAAAAAAAAGAAAGCTTTGTCTGCCTGATCTGTATCACCAGTGATATTGATATTGACCTGGATAAACATCTTTTTGAAACTTAATTCTCACTTCTCTGTCAATCAGTGATTCAGGCAATCTGTACCCAACTGATGTTATGTATGTGGTAGTAAGTAAGACTCAGAATAGGATTCTTTCTTTTTGTAAACTGTCTTTGTGCCTGACACGGATGTTGAGACCAAAGCATCTCTGGAGCTGAGTGTCAACCAGTCTCTCCAAGTATTTGTTCAAACAAACTGAATGAGGAATTGTTCCTGGAGTAACAGATATGGTGAATGGAGGTCTTGGTTCACAAATAAAAAAAATAAAAAATTAATGTCTTAATTGAGGGCCTTAAGTTAAAATTAAGTTCCTCTATTAGACCTTTTTTCAAATGTTATGTTATAATCTTTTTTTCAGTGTCAAGATGGAAGAACTGGAGAAACTAGAATACCTTTCACTTGTGTCAAAAGTCTGCACAGAGCTGGAAAACCATCTTGGAATCAATGATAAAGATCTTGGTATATATTACTCTTTTTTTCTATTCGTTGATCTTGAACACTTTTTAAAGTACTGATGAATCAGACGAGGTCAGAGTTTTCTCTTTGAAAGCAAAATAGTGTAGCCCAGAAATATTTTATATCTGAATTCCTGATCGATATCATTTATAAGAAAGTATGTATGTAGCTGCTTGAACAGAACAAGAACTTAATGATGTATAGCTACAACTTGCTTTTCTCACAAGCTAGTGTGCAGGGCTGCAGTAAGAAGGTGCACGTTAAACAGTGTCTTATTATTTTAAGATCTTAGCATTTTTTCTGTATAACTGATCATATGGATGGCTGGCATTGATTTTCATGCAGTTTATATCGTTACTGTTCTTTGAATTTCTGACCATATTCAGATTATTGTGTTATTATTTTAAGTGTACGAAAAATGTTTTTTGGTTTGCATGGCATTTAAGTGTCAAGTATTGATATTGTTTTTTGCTGTCCTGTGAACTCCAGTAACTTGTTCCAGTTCTGTCCTAGTTCCTACCAGGTGTTTCTCTAGGAGTCAGGTTTTAATTTGTAATTTTTTTCATGTTTCAGCGGAGTATGTGATTGAACTTGCAGACAAAAATGGCACTTTTGCTACATTCAAGAAAGCCCTGGAAGAGAGAGATGCCCTGTTCTCTGTAAGCAAAAAGAAACTGATGTTGAACTTTGTTTGATAATGTAATTATGGAATAAAAATGCTCAAATGGACTGAGGAAGTCTGATTTTAAAACCAGATGGTGTACATACAAGCATCAAATTGTAATTTGCTTTCTAATAGCAAATATTTGTCTGTGTTGTTTTATATAGAAAAAAGGAGAAGCGAATGATGTTTAAAAACCCCCCGAAAAAACCTGGTCATTAGCAGCAAAAAAAAAAAGATAGAAAAGACACATACTCAAAAAGACTGATTGTAAACATTTATTGAAAGCATTTTCATGGTGAGGTAGTCTAAAGATCACTAGTAGTGTGACCGTCAACTTCTATTGACGCAAAAGTTGTTTGATGAGGTGTAAAATTTTAATATTATGCTGATTTTTATTCCAGGACTCTTTAATCGCAAACTTACTGCGTCTTATCCAAAAGATGAAACCAAAACAGAAAGAAAAAAGTTTTGAAGAGTCTGAAAGAGAGGAGGACAAGAAAGTTGATGTTGACTTAAACAGACAACTTTTCCCTGGGTTGGCTCTAGCTGATGATCCAAAAGTCAGAGTAAGTAACAATACTGTCCAATGTAGTGTGTTCTCATTTTATTTGTTTTCAATCCTGATGCTGAGCTGCTTGGATTATTCTATTCAGTGTCTTGATTCTTATTTTAAAAACAATGTCAGTCTTAGTGTAATTTATTAATGGTAGTCTTCATATTTCATATTTTTCCATGTTAGTAAGATTTGGAGATTGTCATAAACATGGATATTTATAATTACATATACATTGCAGACTATTTTTTTGTCCTTTAATTCTTTAAGCCCTGAGTTTTTTCCACCATTTCCCTGAGTTTTTTTCTACAGTCACCTAAACTTAGTGCACTATGTCTCATTATAACCCCAAAAGCTTGCCTCCAACTTCTAGATAGCAGAAACAAAGGCTTAGCCATTACTAAAAAACTTGGTTCGGGAATAGTTCTGAAAAACAAGCTAAAACTAGCACTAAATAAAACGAAACAGTTGTCACTAGTAAGCGTCCGATGGGGAACAGCGTCCGATGGGGAACAGCGTCCTATGGGGTTCAAAGAGTTAAAACATGTAACTGACACCTTATCACCGACAGATGTTTTTTAAAAAATGGTAAGATGGCAATATCTCTATTATAAAAAAATGTTAAATTGCATAATTTGTCGATCCATATTTCAGAGCATGCTTGATGATGATGAAGTCTTGAGCAGCGATGAGGAGAAGCAGAGCAGCAAGCTGAAGCCGTCGTCCTCGAGCACTAAAGAGGAGAAAAGTGTCACTTCTAAGGGTGAAGGCGGTGACCAGAGCGTGGCAGACAGCATGATGCTGGAGCTGGAAGCGCTGCTGGGGAAAGCCTCGGGGAAGACCAAAGAGAGCAAGGACAAGGATGGAGGCAGCAGGAGCAAGAACCGCAGGAGCAGAAGCAGGAGTAAAGACAGAGACCGAGACAGGAAAAGGTGACTGGTGTTGTTGAATAAGGACTTTGACATGTATTTCGCTGAGAGGTGTTTCAAAATTTGAGATGTGTACTGTTAATTTACTTTACTAGCAGTTTTTAGTTGCAAACTCTCTGTAATTGATTGAAAAGATCTGACAGAATTAAAAAAAAAGACAAATAAAAGGGGATACCTGCAGCACATTTGAATATAATATTGACTGTGGAGAAAACTGTTTCCTGTGTTACAGTATTTTGAAGTGTTGCCCAATTTTTTATACTGTATTTTTGGAAAAATGCTTTGTTTGTTGCACATTGTATACTTGCTTCTGTATTGTGCTATACTTGCCCAGTGTGTAAAGATAACATGAGCACCCAGGTAAATAATGATAGTAAAATGACTGTGAGTGTCTTTTGATCAGCAGCAATTGATGTTTTCAGTCATTAAGAAGAAAATGGAAGTCCTGCATGTATTTCTAGTTTTAAAAGAGTCCATTCATGCTAATATTTTCTGATCTTTTCCCACTCTGGAATTTGTACTTTGTACAAAGAAAACTTATGAACAGTCAATTTAGCTTGTTGAATAACCTTTGAAATTGAAGTGAGGAGAAAGCTGAAAGTTTAATATGTACATGATTATGATTGAATTGAACTGGTTTTTAAATAATGACAACTGCATGTGTCTTACTTAGGAAAAAGAGGTCTAGAAGTAGAGATAGATCTCGCAGCAGATCTCCTGCCCGGCGAAGAGACAGAGATAGAGAAAGAGATCGAGACAGAGACAGATCAAGAGATCGAGACAGAGACAGATCAAGAGATCGTGACAGAGACAGGGATAGAGATCGGGACAGGCATCGAGACAGACGTCACAGAAGAGACAGTAGGTCAAGGTCGGGAAGCAGAGACAGGGATCGCCGCCACAGAGACAGAGCTGAGCGGAAGACTCGAGACTCTGACAAGGCAAAAGAGAAGGAGAAGTACAACGATATTCCTTTGGAACCTGTTGTCGGATCGGTAAGCGTTTTTGCTGAGTTCAGTTGAATTTGCATAATCTTGCTTGAAGTGGTAAGAAGGTTGTCATTGGTTCTTTTCATTCCCGATTATTCTGAATCATATAATTATGCTTTAAAGCTGTTCATGTTTAAAAGTTATCCCTTTTTGTTGAATTTTAGGCAGACATTGTGGTTTGATACTGAAATTTTTTTTAAAGTCGCTATTTAGACAAAAAGTACAGATACCTGTACTTTACAAATTCACCCAAACAATTGGTATCTTTACCATTGTAATGATAGTTTTATAATAATAATAATAAATAGCATTTATACTGCGCATTTCCATTTCCTAAAAGATGCTCAATGCGCATTACAATGAAAAAGACATCACATCTTAAAAATTAATCGACACAAATGTGTACGTAAAACAAAGTATTATACATATAATATAAATGCATATGTGTAAAATTTTATACCAGAAAAACAGTCTCGCAGTGAGGTTGAAAATGTGTTCACTAAAAATATACAATGCAATATAAATTCACGAACAGTCAAAATACAGTTGAACCGTGAGTAACTAGAAACATTCATTAAAACATTAATTCTATACAGATAGAAAAACATTTCCGCTCTCTCTCTCTCTCTCTCTCTCTCTCTCTCTCTCTCTCTCTCTCTCTCTCTGTCTGTCTGTCTCTCTCTCTCTCTCCCTCTCTCTCTCTCTCTCCCTCTCCCTCTATCTCTCTCTCTCTCTTTCTCTCTCCCTCTCTCGCTATCTCTCTCTTTTCTCTCTCTTTTCTCTCTCTATCTCTCTCTTTTTCTCTCTCTCATTCTCACTCGCTATTTCTTCAGTCTCACAGTCTGGCATACACATGCATATATATCACAGTACATCATTATGACAGGTATGCTTTTGTGAATAAAAAATGCTTCAGCTGATTTTTGAAAATGGAAATTGTTGGGGCAGATCTTATTTTATATGCGATTTCGTTCCATACCTGGGGACCAAAGAACAAAAAGGAACGCTCGCCGTATGTTTTGTAGTTTTGTTTTGTAGTTTTAAGAATTAGATTGTCAGAGGCTGATCTAAGGGCTCTAGGTGGATTATATAATTCCAGGAATGTTTTAAGATAAAAAGGTGCACTATCATTTATACATTTAAAACAGAGAACGGCAGTTTTGTATTTAATCCTTTCTTTTATTGGCAGCCAGTGTAGTTCTTTCAGAATTGGTGTTACGTGGGCTGATTTCTTTTGTTTCATTATCAATTTTGCTGCTTGATTTTGAAGTACTTGTAACTTTGATAGTTTTTCGGATGTCAAACCGGACAAAATAACATTACAGTAATCTAACTTTGATAAAATGAGTGTTGTTACAAGTGTCTTGGCTGCTGCTTTAGTTAAATAATTTCTTACACTGCCAATTTTCTTAAGCTGAAAGTAAATACTTTTGCTGAGCTGGCTTATTTGGGAGGACATAGACATATCATAATCCAACTGAACCCCTAGATTTTTAAGACTTCTTTTTGAACGAATGGTATGGTTATTAATATCAATTTGTAGCTCTGGGAGATTTTTAATGGCTTTTGTATTTCCACTCAACATTATTTCCGTCTTGTCATCATTTAGTTTCAATTTATTGCTGGTCATCCATATTTTTAAATCTCTAGTATGAGTATCAATATATCTTTTGAAACTAATATTTTTAATGGGATTTGTCTCATTTCGTAAGAAAAAAAAATCAAAATGGATATTATTATGTAGCATGTGTCAACACTTTTTGGAGATCTCATTACTGTAGAGGATGAGAATCCAACATAGATTTTATCACACAACAAACAACAGCTAAGCCTTACATCATCTTTACCCTTTAAATAAAATTGTTTAAAATTTTTTTCAGTAAATAAGTAAAGAATAGGAATCTTCATTTCTCAACATTGGAAAAATGGATGTGTCACTTTTTGTCCAAACTGTCCCTACATTCAAGTACCTTGAAACTGAGAAATATGTTCAACATTATGTCTGTATCTATATTGTAAATGCAAAAATGTTTGTTCAGTAGCTTAATGAGGAAGAGTAACAGACAGAACCATAGGGATGTTACATGTGTAGCACCACTGATAATATGTTGGGCTGATTTTTTTTATGCAAGAGGAACCAAAATATTGGCATGAACTTTTTAACCTTTTTTAAATCATTTTTTTCTTCCTTAGTTTTCTTTTATAGTCGTAGAGCAATTGTAAGTTACATTGTTCTATGAAGATACATTGAAACCCTTTAAATATTGCTTATTATAAATATTTTTTCAGATTTATGAAGGAAAAGTTACATCAATTTTACCATTTGGTTGTTTTGTGCAACTAGAAGGGTTGCGGAAACGTTGGGAAGGATTGGTACACATTTCACAGGTAAGAAACAAATTGCCTACGAATTTGATTGAGTTGTTTAAGACAGTGTAAAAGCAACATATATGGATTTTAAAAGATTTAAAAGTAGCCAGTAGGGATTAAGAAAGCTTTAAAAATGATGCCTGTAAATCTGAAGCAATCTATGTAAACATATGTTTGAAGATTTGAAGCAATGAAAATGTAACCTGTGGAATTAAAACAATGTAAAAAGTAATCAATGTGGGTTTAAATTTACATGTATACAACACACTGTGAATTACAGAAATATAAAAGTAATAAATATAGATTTGAAGCTATGTTAAAGTAACATATGTGATGTTGAAGCTTGTGCTCCAGTCAGTTTCTTATTGAACTGCAATTTTTGAATTTTTGTTGTTATTTGTTTATACGATGTTGTTTGAGATGAAATAGTGACAGCTGTGGTTACCTCCTTTAAAAATGTATTGATTATATGTAAACGTTATTACTGTGTCAGTAATTTTTACATTGCTAGCGGTGTTTTGTTTATTGTTTCAATATAAGAATCAAGTTCTGTAAAATTTCGTCTCTCTATGGATATAATGTCAGTGTATGTTTTATTTGTCCAGCTCTAGTCTATCTCTGTGTATAATGTCAATCTACATTTGACCTGTTTTATTTGTCTAGCTACGGAGAGAAGGACGAGTCATAAATGTCAGTGATGTGGTGAACAGAGGACAAAAAGTCAAGGCAAAAGTTCTTTCATTCACTGGAAATAAACCCAGCTTGTCTATAAAGGTGAGTAAAGATATGGAGGATTTTTTAAAACTTCTTTACAAAGTTTACAGTCCGATTTTAATTTTTTTTTAACCTCTGATGTCCCCTTGTTCTACGGAAATAACTGTGGGGAAATCCTGTTGGCTTGATCAATTTTTTAAAATAATCCCTATTATGTGATGAGGTGTCATTATGTGGCCAATGTCTTTGATGCATCAGTTATGCTCTTCTCTGTTGCATGCAAAGGATGTATTTGATTTCCGAGTGGGGAAGTATTTGTCGTGTATCTTCGTCTGTCTGAGGGGATGTTTTATGCCGTTCAGCTTTGGTTGGCCTTGACATTTGGGGTCAAAGTAGCCTGCCTCGCACATGGTCTGAATTGTGTCGATGAGTGTGTGAAACACTTACAGTTGCAGTTACTATTTGACCCTTTCACTTCAGATAGAACGAAGACATTTGTGTGTGCGCCTAGAGAAAGGTACCAAAAGTCGCCCCAGACTGTTTCGAGCTACAGGCTGGTAATGACAAAAATCACTTTTTTGACCAAAATGTGTTTCCATTAAAAAATGATAGATCCACTATTTTTTTACAATGTGCTGAAAGGGTTTTCATTGATTTGACTTCTAAATATTTTATTTTGAATTATTTGAGGGTAGGTATAATAAAAACAAAAAATGAAAACTGCTTTTAAAAGGTGTTAAAATCTATTCTTGAAGCACGTTTTCTCTTCCCTACTATTTTTTAACATTGAATTCCATCCATGATATTGATATCAACTGAATGCTAAATTGGAAATGAATTTTCCACGAATAAATACGTTTAAAACATTGTTTTTTAAAGTTTGTATGTGTTCTCACGCTTGTTAAACTTAAAAGCTCATTTTCTCAAAATTATATTTTTATATTTTTATACTCTACCTAGCAGAATGTGCAATATTTTAAAAAACTACTTGAGATATCTCAATAATTCAATGACCCCTTTGTTCAGCATTGAATTTCATATAAGGTACAACCCTTAACTTAAAATTGTCAAAATCCGACTTTTGGTACCTTTCTTTAGGCACACACACATTTTTATAAGAACTTGTTCTTGGAAATGTTCCACTTAGCTGCTCTTCTGAAATGTGGGGTTTAACAGAAAGTGAATAGGTTAATTCTGTAGTTGTTTGTAGTTTCTTTTAGCTGTTGCCTTTCTTTAACCCTACTTCCAGCATTATTACTGATAGCGATTCTACTATTTCACTCCATGCAGGATGTTGACCAAAGCACTGGGGAGGATCTGAACCCCAGTCGTGTGCGTGTTGGAGGAGAGGTGAAAGATGGGGAGGAAAATTCTGCCAGAAACCCGGACAGGCCGAGCACCCTGCCACTTGTGGATGCCCCAGAGCTGGAAGACGAAAAGTCTGAGATGAAGACGTTCAAACGACTTTCCTCACCTCAGCGCTGGGAGCTGAAGCAGATGATGGCGGCCAACTGTATCGACATAACAGCTCATCCGGACTTTGACGAGGAGACGGGACTTTTGCCTAAAGAAGATGATTCTGGTGGGTGTTATAATGTTTTCAGGGCTGTTATAGTTTACAGGCCGTTGCTTCACTTCTTCATCTTCTGATTCGTAGAGAATATCGGGTATTTGTAAACTTAAGTGTCCATATGGAACTGATTTGACCTCATATGCACATCCAGGTCTCTACTCTCCTAAGGGCCACATGTTAGTTGCTGTGTCTTCATACGTAAAAGATATTTTCAAGTTATTTGAAACATGGAAGGGGGGGGGGGGGATTTTATTTTAAGCGAATATTGTCCCTCGAGTATAGTAAAAAAAGGGAAATGTACAGTAAAGGAAAAGTATGAAGAGCTATTTTTATTATATTTTACATTGGCAATGTATTTTTTTGTCTTATCGATGGATTTGAATAAAAGAGGTGATACTGCATGATGTTGAAAAGCTCATGCTGCCAATGATCTTGAAGAAAGGCATTTATGAGCTAATGGCTCATAGTGACGGCAATTTTAATTTGAAACAAAAATCTTGCTTTAATAAACTTCTTTTCATGAAAGGTGTCATCAGGAGCATACGTTGTTGTTTTGCTGTAATAAATTAAAAATCAAAACGGAGACTGGTGCTGAGTATTGAAACTGGCTTGTTTTCGTTTCCAAAATTATCTATATACTTTTAAAAAAATGTAGACCTTCTCAGCTAAAACAGATTAGGTGAATTTTCTCAAAGATGCAAAGGCTCTAGTTTTATTTCATTGTTCATAAACAAAGTTATTAATTCAATTTGGAATGAAACATTCATGCTTTCTAACACTTTTGATTTTATAGATGAAGACGTGGAAGTGGAAATGGTGGAAGAAGAACCCCCATTTTTACAAGGTCATGGCCGTCAGTGGGTCGAGCTTAGCCCGGTCAAAATTGTCAAGGTAGGTGGCTATCACTGCTACAGGATAGGTTAAGTAGTTTTCAAGTATAATGCAGACGTATTTTAAATGGGGCAAGAAAAACATGTTGTATAAACGATATTATTTGAAAGGACAACTGTCTGTCCGGGGTTTTTTTCTTTTTCTTTTCTGGAGAAGCCGGTTGCCTGAACAAACACAGGAGTCCTCTTCATCGCCTCCAGGTGTCCATTTTTTTCTTCGTGACGTTTGTTAGTTTCAACTAGCCATGCCATTTATGTAGGGATTTTGTTAAGGTGGACATGTAATATATGCTCTGCTTTCTTGATGTTTCCCTTTCTCCTGTGCATTACAGCTTCTTGTTAATTTTGAATATGTTGTCCTTGTACTTGTTCAGTCTGTTGTGGACAGTTTTGTGCCTGTTCATGATGATCTGGCCATGGCTGATAATTTATGGTAAATGTCAGAGTGATTGTCATTTGGGTGTTGTGTCTTCTTTTTCTTTCTTAACGCTTTGCTTGCTGCCCTTTTTTAAAAATAGTGTGCTTACAGATGGTATCTGGAAGCAAAGTTTGTCACGTACAATGAATGGATATCTAAAATATTTCAGTTGTTCAATTCCAAAGAATAACAGATGTGTTTTGTATTAATACGCTGTCTTAATATATGTAAAAAATTGGGGAGAATGGTTGGATTGTCTTTTTTTTCTCAGTTCCCTTTTTCTTCCTTACCCTTACTTTTTCTCAACATGTTGCCACCAGCGTACCTTCTAGGTGAGTCAGGTATCTTTGTCTATTTCTTTTTATGCAAAAGTCACAAAAGATAGGTCAGCCATTTTGGTTTTATGGCAGAATCCTGATGGCTCCTTGGCGCAGTCTGCGATGATGGGAAACGCTCTGCAGAAAGAGAGGAGGGAAATGAAGCAGGCCCAGAGGGAGGCTGAGGTCAGCACTGTGCCAGCCGGTCTCAACAACGACTGGATTGACCCAATGCCTGAAGGTATGACGGATTTACAACCTCCATTTGACACTTTTGTTTTGTAGCACATAGTCAGATGGCAGTTTAAGAGAACTGAAAGAAACTCTGTCAAGTCAAAAGTAGTGGTTGTGTAAGCGTAAATCTTATTAAACTTTTTTGTTTCAGACATTTTTTATATTTCTCTCCTGTTTTTTTTTTTTCACTTTACTGTTCAAGATTCTGGTTCAAGTTGGCTTGAAACAAGATGCCCATGAATATTGTGTTGCAAACTTTTGAGGAAAACATTGATTTTTGCCATCAGGATAAAAATGACACAGGTGTGACACAAGTGTTAATTTTATGTATAATATTCAGTACTCAATAGTATTTTTGTTAACTTTTATTTTTAGGCTGTCTCATATCCCCCTCTCATGTTCCCTTATCATTTGTACAGATGGTGGCAGAACTCTGGCAGCTAACATGCGTGGAGTGGGCATGGCACCCAAAGAAGAACCAGAGTGGAAGAAACACATCAGTGGTGGAGCTAAGGCCTCCTATGGTAAAAAGGAAAACAAGACCATCATTGAGCAGCGTCAGAGCTTGCCTATCTTCAAATTGAAAGATGATCTTCTCAAGGTAAACAAACTTACCTGTTTGTGGTTTTAATTTCTTCTCCAATTTATGATGGTTTCATGGTCGTTTTAATGGTGCATTTTCTTTCTAGGTGTGTTGGAAGTGAGTTTGTTTTCCTATATCATTTTTGTTTTGATAAAATGTAGAAATCTAGTTACAACATTTAACACGGTTGACAAGAAGACCGTGTTATTTCATCATTTCTTCTCAAGAGACCTAACCTTTTATGCTGATTTAATGTCGTAATAATACTGAGAATTGGTTTGCTGTTGGTGTTGTTTGAATGAGCATCAGGAACTTTGACAATTTGGTGGTGTTGTATTAACAAAAAAAACGTTTTGATTATATTCATTGCCTTGTCTCTCCTCCTGTGAAAGAGTCACATAAATTATCAAGAACTCTCGGCGGCCTGTGGTATAAATACCTGTTCTGCCTTTTTGGGAATTGTACAGCACTGCAGCCAGTCAACCACTTATTCCTGTAATTCGCATTGATGTTGTGCTTTGTTCTATCATTCAGGCTGTCCATGACAATCAAGTTTTGATTGTCATTGGGGAGACTGGCTCTGGCAAGACGACTCAAATCACGCAGTACCTGGCAGAAGCTGGCTACACCACACGTGGAAAGATTGGCTGCACGCAACCCAGACGTGTGGCTGCCATGTCCGTGGCAAAGAGGGTGTCAGAAGAATTTGGTTGTCGGCTTGGCCAGGAGGTATGTAAAGATGAAATTCGCTCTGATTTTTACATTCTAACTACACAGAGGGTACCCATGGATGTTTTATCTCTGTGACCTGCCTCATGAAGCTGTTCCAACGACTGCAATTTCTCCTTCTTCCTCTCACAATATTGACCACTACTTATGTACCAACAGAGCACAACTAAAAAAGACTTCACTTATTAGCTCAGGGGCTAGATGGTTGTTACATCCATATTTTATTTGAAGGACATTTTTGTGGTATATTGCATAAACCTTTCATGGCTCTTTATTCTTTACACCAATTTTTAAGAATGCGGGGGACCTTATTCTTCGAAGTCGAGGTGAACACTTACTTTCAGAGTGAATCACAAGAAGAAGATAGCGTGCATCTGTGTGTTGGTTGAAAAATTACATGGATTTCAAGTGTGCTTAAGAAAGTTTGCTTTTAAATTGGTCTGTTGACAATGGTATTTAAAGCATGCACATTTGCTTCATTTTGCATGTATCCGTAGGCCATGAGAAAAGTCTTATCAAAGCTTGTTTTTTAAATCAAATCTTGCTTCCATTTTGTGTCTTTTTCTTGAGAGGTAAGAGATAAGAAGAAAGTCTCACAGAAATGACAAAAATGAACTTGCTCTTCCTAGGTTGGGTACACTATCCGTTTTGAAGACTGCACCAGTCCAGAGACAAAGATCAAGTACATGACAGATGGTATGTTGCTGAGAGAGCACTTGATCGACGGAGAGATGACCCAGTATGCCATCATCATGTTGGATGAAGCTCACGAGCGGTCCATTCACACTGATGTTCTCTTTGGCCTCTTGAAGCAGGTATGGTTATTCATGGATATATACCCTTATTTGTACTCAAAACTTGCTTGTTGGGTTCTTACATTCTATTAGATTGGTGACTTAATTAATCAAATTAACGGTTTCTTATTTTACGGCTGTGTTCTTTACTGAAGAATAATCTCTATTTGATCATGCCAACACCTTTTAGTTTGGAAAGTCAAGTTACTGTTTACATTTATTTTCTTTGGATTATGTGAGGAAATATAAAGCTATGGCTTCCATAATTTTTCTGAGAAAGTTTTTTTTTGGTATTAAGTATACAGTTACCTTTATCTTTCCCAATGGGTTACCCGTTAAGCATTTTGGAACCTTCCTATTTTTCATTATCAAAACTTTTCAGAATGTAGGTGCAGCTTCTGATAATGTAACTTTGATGCTTGTTAGCTTGTAGAAGTAGAACTATGAGATAATCAGAAGATAACTGGTTCTCTGGACAGACAGTTAACATGGAAGCTTAACATGGAAAGATTGATTTAAGATATTGTCTCGTTTACTTCACATCTTTAATGAATAGTATATTTACCTGCCTTTTTCTTGTTCTCTTTTGCAGGCTGTTAAAAAACGACCAGATCTAAAACTTATTGTTACGTCTGCCACTCTAGATGCTGTGAAATTTTCACAATATTTCTATGAAGCTGTGAGTATTTTTTTCTTTTTGGTTTATCTTGTCACCAGATTTGAATAGGCTGTTTATTGTGGATTGTAGTTCTCAAGTTGAAATTTTCAATTTAATAATTTTTGTTATAGCTTGTAAATTCAGAGTCCGTAACTAGTGTAGAAAGACTTAACCATGGGGGGAGGTTGTGTGACTGATACGATGTCAGTGGCATGTTGTGTTTCACTGAGTTAGGCTTTTAGCAGTGACCAGATTTTGTACGCAGCCTTGGGTCACAGGACATGAGCCCAGGGGTTTCTGGACTAACAATAGCAAAGGGCCACCACCCACATAATAACAATCTTATTTCACCCATAGTTAAATTTTGGAAAGCAGATCAAAACGAATTTCAGGTGACTATTTGTTTGGATTGAGTACTTAACTTTTCAGATATACTGATGGCTTTTACATTTTTCAACTGGAGGCACAGTTCATTATTATGAATACTTATTTCATGATGTAGCCTTGTGGACATATGTCTATTGTGGTTGCCAATGGAACCTGTCTGACTGGTGGTTAGAGAAAAAGAGAGAAGAAACCGCCTCATATGTGGCAGATAAATAGCTGAGTGCCTTACATCTTTCTTGTTTGTACATACTCGTTGTGACCCCTTAAAATTTAAGTTTTCTTTCAAATTAATGCTCGTTTGAACAAAGTTTAAAGTGTTAATCATCCTAGTTTGCTGTATCTAATAATTGTTTTTGGCTCTTTTTTTACATTTACTTCCTAGCCTATCTTCACAATCCCTGGTCGAACATACCCTGTGGCAATTCTGTACACAAAAGAAGCAGAAACTGACTATTTGGATGCATCTCTCATCACTGTCATGCAGATTCACCTCACAGAACCACCAGGTATGATAATAGTTCTTTTGACATATCTTAAGTTGAGTTAAGGTTGTAGGTCTAGAAAGCAACTGAGAAACATGCTCTGAGTTACCTCAAAATAAAACTTAATCGTTAGAGAATTATTGTTCTTGGCAAGTTAACAAGACACCAGCCACATTTCGCAAGGAAGTAGATTAAGAAGTAAGTATCAGTAAAAAGAAGTAGAAGTAGCCACCCTCTGTGTTAAAGAAATCTGACAAAGTATGGCCTGAACACATTTGTGGCAAACCATCCTATTGCCGGCAGATTGGTCTGGATCATGGTTGCTAACTGCTTTCTCATAAAATTTTGTCAGTGGCAAGATGCATATATGCGGCTGTTCATATTATATTTTACCTAAAGACTAAGTTTTACAAGCATGAACAATTTTGCAAAATGGATTTTTGAACAGAATCTACAGCGCATGTACAAGGTCAATGCTTTCCCTGAAAAGCAATCTAAACATCTGTATTACAGCTCAGACTTGAACATTTCACGACAGTCCCTTTCATGGTTGTCACACTTACTTTGTCCCATATTTGAATCTTTTTGGCTGTGGCTGCTGAGTAAAGTCCATGTGGTAGCATATGGACAAATTGGTTTTTCCTTGTTTGTAATCCTACTGAAAATGAATGCTGATATTTCAGTTCTTTAAAAAAATGTATGTTTGTATCAGGAGGTGTACTTGAAGTGAAACTCGAGAAATGTCAAAGATGGTAACGTTTTGAATCATGGTATTATTTTGCTCATGTTGTTGTTATAAGAAGTTGTTTGTTTCATTTGCTCTGTCTGAAATAATGTGACATATTTTATTGGTAAGTTTCTACATTTTTACTGTTCTGGTTGAAATCACTGCATGAACAGACACATGTGTTTGATTTTCCACTGCTTTTGTTTACTGATGACTTTCTTATTGATGTAACATCTTGTGAATCGAAGAAGTTTTTTTCTCAAATGTATGCTTTGCTTTTGGCATTTTTTAACAGGTGACGTTTTGCTGTTCCTCACGGGTCAAGAAGAGATTGACACAGCCTGCGAGATTCTGTATGAACGCATGAAAGCATTAGGCCCAGAGGTTCCTGAGCTGCTCATTTTGCCAGTATACAGTGCTTTGCCTTCTGAAATGCAGACAAGAATCTTCGAGCCTGCTCCTCCTGGGTCAAGAAAGGTACGGAATTTGGGTATTGTAATTTTACATTAGCAGTTTATTTATTCTGGAAGTGTTTTTTCCATAGTTACTAACCTGTAAATGTAAGCCCTGAAATTGTTCTTTGCTATTATGAATGACTGATGGTTGCTTTCGGGTGAAATCTGTTATTTCATAAGACAGTGGAAAGTTGTATTTCTTTTCCTTCTGTCACTACTTCTCTTATTCAATCCATGGTTGGTCTCTCCACTCCCTTCCATACCATCGGGGCAGAAAAAGATGATTCTATTGTAAATTGGGGGCAAAAAAAATTTGCAAAACCCCCAGACTTGCCGTTTCAAAATATTGATAAAATAAGAACTATATGGACAAATTAGATGCAGTTTTCTTTTCTGTGAGGGGCTTTCTTTCTTTTGTTGCATTTTAAAAATCATAATAGCTTTTATAGTCTTTTTGTGGTCAACTATTCATTATAGCCCAAAACTCTCAGGCTATTATTGTTATTGAGTTTTTATATATGGTTCTGTCTTTACTTCATACAAAGGATATACTGTGCTCAGAGCTAAGTCATTCAACAAAAAAACATTTACGACATTTAATTGTGGGTACTTGATTCTCTTTGTCTTCTTTGTATCTTAATTGTCGTGAGAATGTGGTGATATTTTACACACATGCTATCAATTTTTCTGTGTTCCAGTTTTTCCCATATTATGAATGTCATGAAAGCTTTTGTATAATTTTGAAGTTCACCATTATAATTGTTTAATTTTCTCCACAGGTCATTATTGCAACCAATATTGCAGAGACGTCCTTGACTATAGACGGCATTTACTACGTGGTTGATCCAGGATTTGTCAAACAAAATGTGTACAACTCAAAAACAGGAATGGATCAGCTGATTGTTACACCTATTTCTCAGGTTTGTTTACAAAAGTAGTTCTTTAGGCCCACTAAGAAGCCTGAAAAATTGGATCTTTTAATTATTCATTTTTTTACCTTTCAAGAGATTGCAATAAGTTTTGCAGTAAACTGATTGTTTTCCGTCTATTATTGTGCAATTGACTGCAAAAAATGTGGAAATACCTCACTGTCGTGATGTGCCATGTGGCCATTGATTATTCTCTATGTACAGTGTGCATCTCCTCAAGTAGCCGCAGACAATTAATTCTTTATCTCGGCAAGCCGCTCCCAGCGGTTCGTGGTCGGAACTGCCGTGCCGGATGGCTCGGGCACCTTCCTTTACGACGACTTCGACATTAAATTACTTTTCGGCAACTGCCAAAAATAAGTCTCTTTTACCGGAAGTGCATTCATTAGATGAAGACCTATCAAAATAGGTTTGCCAGTTTAGATTTAATGACCCATTTAATGACGTTTTTGTCATTTTTAGATTTAGTACCAAACAAGGGCCCCGGCATAGTGGGTTTACCCCCCCTCGGAGATGAAGAGTGAAAGGTCATCTCACATCTCACGCTCATTTGTTATGTCAGGGATGCTGTTTTTTCCCCTGATATTTCTGTTATTATCATTATCACTTGTTTTCTGTTTAACCCCTTGTTAGTAATGTCTGTTAACATTCTTTTTGTTTGCAAATGCAACTTATGTATGTATGTATGTATAGTATAAGGTTTTACAGCGCTCGCAACTGCTAAGGTCATATGAGCGCGCGAAACACAAGTTGTTCACCTCTGCGAAAGTTCACTTCACGACTGGCTAACTAATTTACTTTAAAATGCTAAAAAGTTAAAATATTCAAATTCGGTGTAAATACATTTGTGATCTAAAACAACTTTTAAGTAACAACAAAAATTTTAAATAATATCAAATTCATTCTACAACTCGCCATAAAGGCCAATGGCCTTTATAAAATTTAAAATTCTGCTGGGAACAACGACGGAAAAAATATCCTGCAATTTCTTGAATTTATAATATTTCCTTCGGATCTCTCCAAAGTCTAGACATTCTGTTAAAATGTGTTTAATGGTAAAATCTGTGTCGCATCCGACACAGAACGGCTTCTCATCTCCCTGTAGGAGGTATTTGTGGGTTAGGGCCGTGTGTCCGATGCGCAATCGAGTAAAAATGACTTCGTCTCTTCTGGAGAGATCCGAAGGATTTCGCTGTTCTACTTTGGGTTTAATTTCATATAATTTATTATTTTTCTGGTTTTCCCAGTGGCTCTCAAATGCAACTTAGTAAATTTTCGGTTATTTTCACAAAAACCCAGTCACATCCCTGTTCTGTCTTTAAAATGTTGTTTTGCAACCAGCGATACATCCTGAGATCGTATTCTACATGGGAGTTTGTTGCTTGAGTCCAATAATTCCTTTTTTGCTGTCAATGCCATGGCGGTAGGAGATGGGAGGGGAAATTCTGAGAATTTCTTATTTTGGTTTTCAAAGGGTTTGCAGGTCTGGATCAATGAGAATTGGCATCATTGTGTCTGTTTGATTTGAGACAGTAATGTACAGTTATGGTATCTTTCGAGTACCAGTATGGTGTGATAAACTTTTGCGAGTGATTTCTAACCATTTATGATTTTCAGCCAGTGTCTGCTTATTGAATTAATTGATACTGAACCTTTCAAGAAAAATTGCTGTTACCATTACTCTCTGTTCCTCTTGTAGTTCTAGTAAAAAAGCTACTTTTGAATCTTGTTTAAAAATATTTGAACTTGTTGGTTCCCTTCACGTTCTGTATTCTGTGATTCATCAATATAAATTATCGAAACTTTAGACATCCATTTCTATAACTCCTGTTATAGTATGTATGCACATAGATTTTTGGCTTATTGGATGTTTTGGTGATTAAAAATTTCTCGGACATTGGCGTGAAAGTATGATCAATACAAGTGGTGGTTGGAAAGAGTCTCTGTTGAAATTGATGATTTTTAGCGAATAAAGAGCATAATATGGACCGATGTTTGTTTTTCTGTAGGAAAAAGAAGGCTTGATTCTTTAAAATTAAGTTGCAAAATTATTGAAGACAGAAAAATTATGGTGCAGATATGTTGTCAAAATGAAAACGGGCGTTTTGCCTTTTGAGAAATTTTTTATTTGGGACATACAATACACAATGTGGAGACAGCCCAGAGATTTGACTTATTTTTATTTAACGACTTATTTTTGGGAAATTAAAAAAAGTTAACTTTTACACCTTTTTAATTGTCACTTAACATTTTGCCCTGTCCACCACCAGGCTCAAGCCAAGCAGAGAGCTGGTCGTGCCGGGCGCACTGGGCCAGGCAAGTGCTACCGTCTGTACACTGAGCGTGCCTACCGCGACGAGATGCTGTCCACAAATGTTCCTGAGATTCAGCGCACCAACTTGGCCTCCACTGTGCTCAGTCTGAAAGCCATGGGGATCAATGACCTGTTGGCCTTTGACTTCATGGACGCCCCACCCATGCAGACGTTGATCTCCGCCATGGAGCAGCTTCATGCTCTCAGTGCACTGGACGACGAGGGGCTTCTTACCAGGCTTGGGAGGAGGGTAAGGAGAAGACAAGCTCTTTTCGTTCATGATACCAGATTAAACAATGTTAAGACAACAATCACTCCTTATCATAATTGTCCCCACAACAAATTCCCCCCGCCATTACCATGTAATGCTAGACATTTGGTAAATGTAGGTCCCAGTTGGTTTTGTTATTTGATCTTTGATGATGTACCGTACAACTAGTTGCCTGTGATTAAAGTTTTTGGAAGAAGCTCTTGTTAACTCAATGGAGACGTTTCATGCAGCGTTTGTGAGCACCAATATTTTCCTGAGAGGCGATTCACGCACCCCCTGCGAGCTCAAGTTTGACATTTTCTCCTCGGCAAAGTATGCGCGCAAACGCTGTGTGAACCGTCTCTTACCGTACAGCCGACCTTTGTTTCGGTTCGTGCAAAGTTTCAGCAGAATTGGCGGAAACTTTTTGAGTTATCGACCCGAAAGGAAAGTTAGTCACACTGAGCCCCTACTTTCGTTTCTCTGACACGTCCATTCTCACAACACTTTGTCATTTACGATGGCAGCACGTTTAGTTTTAGTAAGAGTTTTACGGCACTTGCAACACAATAAGATCATATAAGTGCCGAAGATTAGGTGTTACAAGAGAGTAACAAACACAAAAAAAGAAGGAAGAGAGATCAGGATGAGAGTTGTTTGTTCAGAAAAAAGGAGCAAACCACACCAGAGCACCCGCAAACCACCCACTAGGTAGAATGAAAAAGCCAACATTTTTCAAGTGTATGACGACTTAGTCAGTTCAGAAAATTCTGATTATGATATTTTAGACCAAGGGGATCCTGATTTCAATGTAAATGAGCATCAAAGCACTGATTCTGATAGAGTTCTAGATCTAGACTAGGCTTTCAAATGCAAAATTCCGCTTTGTCTGGAGCCCTGTTTTTTTTTTTCACACTGAAGTGGATTAGACAGGTAATACATAAGGATTACCATATAGATTACCTGCCTATTTATGAGTTTGAACTTTTTATTCATTTTGAAACACAAAACACAATAAAAAACACACACAAAGTTAATTTTTTGGGGGGGGCGAGTAGAAGTCT